CCATCCATCTTGCTTTCTCAGGCTCTTCCTGTCCCCTAGCCCCTCTTTCTCATTACAAAAGCAATGCCTCTTTCTAGATTGTCTTTCTTCTGTCCTCAGCTCTGCCAGACAGACTCCTACCTACCTGGCAAACTCCCACACCATCCACTCTCCTCCAGGAAGCATTTCCAGACTACCCAGCCAGTTAGTCATTTGTTTTCCTATATTCCTGCATACTGGGGCACACACCCCTCTCCTAACACTTGGGATACCAATGATTGTGACGGCTCAGTGTTTGCCGATCATGAACTATGCAGTAGACAACACTCAAGGACTCCACAAGGATGACTGTATTTAACCCTGACAGTCACTATGACAGTCACTGTGAAACAGATACATTATTGTTCATATTTGACAGAGAAAAGCATAGAGATAGTACAGTTGCCTGCAGAACGATGGAAGGCTTTACAGATACCTAGAGAAGCTTTGGTGAGTAGTATTAGCTCCATAACACTCAACTGATAAATTATTAAATATACAGATGAATAAGGAAGTAATTACATTCCTGGCTCCATCCTAAAAAAAAGGAAAAAGCTCAGGTGAGAAATTTTTTTTACAAGACAAAAGGCTCACCCTGAACTCCTGGTCCTCCTGCCTCCACCTCTCTAGTGTTAGGATTACAGATACGAGCAACCACACATAACTCTAGAACTATTTCTTTTTAAATATAATTTAAATTTATTATTATTATTATTGTGTGTAGGGATGTGGGCCATGGAATGTATATGGAGGTCAGAAGATATCTTTGTGGATCTGGTTCTCTTCTTCTACGCTTACGTGGGCTCAGGGGATTGAACTCAGGACACTGGGTTTGCATGACAAGTGCCTTTATCCATTGAACCAACATCTCAGTATCCCACTGGCAGTCTTTGTTGGGCGGTGTAGCTCAGGCTGGCTTCAAATACTGTGTAAAGGTAAATTAACTCCTTCTTTGTTGTTGTTGTTGTTGGTGTTGTTGTTGTTTGAGACAGGGTTTCTCTGTGTAACAGCCCTGGCTGTCCTAGAACTCACTTTGTAGATCAGGTTGGCCTTGAACCGACAGAGCTCTGCCTGCCTCTGCCTCTCAAGTGCTGAGATTAAAGGCATGCACCATCACCGACTGGCTGATTAATACCTTCTTACTCAGCTTTCAAACCACCTTTACTGTTGGACGACTACCTGTGGTGTGGGGATCTACAAACACCTGCTGCTGGGACAGATAACCTGAACCCCAGCAGTGCTCCTCCCTGGCTCCCCCAAACAGCTGTGGCTTCCTGTCTGTCCCACACCCCGCACATGTCACCTGCCAGGTGAAGAGAACACTATTCTCTTACATTGCTTCTAGAATTACATACGTGCATGGATTTGGAGGTGTGACTGCTCTATACCAAATTACATATTGCAGGTTCATCTGGGCCTGGCATAATACCTACCCACCTGGATGTCACATCTGAGTCAGGTGTGGCCCGAGCGCCAAGGTGGCATCAATCTCGAGAGAGTTCATACCATTTGATCCTTGGTTCACCCCATTCTTATCCAGAGCCACACCCAGGGAATGAATTATAAAGAGCCTAATGAAACTCTCATAAATATTAATAGGTCATAAACAACCGTCTCGGGCTAAATTATGCAATGCACACTGGTGCCAGTGCTCTGGAGGCCTGCTAGGTCATTCTCATTTCTAGGCACCTCCGCTGGAGCTCTTCTCCCCGGAGATCCTGGTCCTCCTGCCACTGCCAACAGCACACAGGCAGGTGTGGATGGAGATTTGGATGCAACCACAACACTTAATACATGCAGGTGGGGGGCTGATAAGCCCAAATCAACTCCAGATGGTACTGAATCATGTGCCCCCTCAATACAAAGAAGGGGTCGGGACGAATTGCATTTGTGCCCACTCATGTCTGTGGGCTAACGGGGAGCTTCCATTAAGCCAGGCATTCATCGCGCCTGCATTATCTGGAATAGGATTTATGATCAACCACTTGTTTGCTAAGGTCTAGTATTTCTTATCTGGCTGATGCTAAGCATAAACTATTATGTCAAAAAAAAAACATACTGCGCGAACAAGTCAGTGTTTGTCACGTGGGAGGACAGGTGGGACCCATCTTCTGTGGTTTGGCTTGACTCACGAGAACAGCAGCACGGCCTCTTAGAGCTGAGTGCCCATCACCCATGCATGAATCTGGCATGGGAGGGCCTGACCAGGAAAAAGTAAGCAATAAAAGAGAACACCTGTGTTTGTCTGCACTCCCAGTCCTGGGAAGCTGCTCCACCCATGTGTCAATCATGTGTGGAAGGGCTGTCAATTGCAGTAGCCAAGTCTCCTGGATTTTATTATTATGAATCCAGAGTCAGGGCAATAAAAAAAATTCACTATTGAGTTGGAAGAGAAAGATTTACCTTTTGGTTCATAGACCTGTCAAGATGGGACCCAGACATTCCAAGAGGAGAGGAACCTGACCTCGGCATAGAGCAATAGAGCAAAATAGCCAACAGGAAGCAAAGAGAGAGGATGAAAGACTGCATGGTGGGCCATCTTGCCTCCATGAGTGAATGGTTTCTCTGTCAGCTTGACTGGTTTGAACTGGGCTGCTGAAAAGCCCAGCAAAAGCAACCTTAGAGTCTCAGTATAGACTGCCGGTACCTGTTCAGCTCTTCCGCTCCTCAGCAAGGATAAGACAGACTCCCAGACATTCCAAAGGCCTTCATTCCCCTCACAGAGGCCAACAACTCAGGCTTGGGGCCACTACTATTGACTGAAGCACCACGAACTGAAGATGCTCTCGTTTTCTTTGTGTCTCAGGTACACAGAGTGACCTGTCAGCCACACAGCATGGAGACTCTGCTGCTCGAAGCCACTCAAGCTTGTAAACTAGGACTGGCCAGACACGACAAGCCACCCTCTGAGTGATGAGTTTTCAAAGTGCACCCTCAGAGCCAGGTGTGGTGGTGCATACCAGTAAGCTTAGCAATCAGGACGTGGATGCAGGAGACCAGGAATTCGAGGCTGGTCACCAGGACGGAGTGAGTTTGTGGCCAGCTTGGGCTATGTGAGATCCAGGCTCAAAACAAAAGACATTGTGTTAGCCAGTCTCCCTCAGAATGTTCACCTTTGGATCGGCCACCAGGGCAATGCCACTTCCTAATAAAACAGTCTTGCTAGGCAAGGTGACTGACTCACACCTTTAATTCTGGCACTGAGACAAGAGAATTGCCTTGAGGTCAGAGCCAGCCTGGGCTAACCGTTCTAAAAAAAAATCCTCCATGAGAGACAGTGTATCAAATAGTGACCACACAACTTCTTTCTATGGTACCCTCCTTATATGACTTTCTTGGGGGTTGCAGGGACCATACATGGAGTTCTTTTAAAAAGAAAGCTACCGTATACAATGACTAAAAAAGGTAACTCAATTCCCCAGAGAGCCATGAACCTGGAAATTACAACTTTGAAGGAGGCATTGGTGGGAGGGGCACCCAGGGCATCTGTCTTCCCCCTTTTCCTTTGTCACCCTGGTGTCTCTGCTTGAAGCTAGAGTGTGACAAGTTTTGGACCAGCATGGGGGGAGGGGGACAACAGATGGGGGTCTCTTCTCATGGCTGAAACGCATGTGGTTTTGGTACAGTTGGAACACTGGCCTGTACTCTGCACATTGGTGTATGGGGCTCAGGAGCTTGGCAGCTGCCTCCCTGGGGCAATGGAAAGCAGCCGTATCCCACGGTGGCCTTAGCCACTCCCCATCACCAAAACAAAAACACAACAGGCTCCATTGCTATGGAGAGTTCAATCCTCTTGTCCTGGGATTGGCACGAACTAGAATTCCATGGGCTTTGCTGAGCTACCTCCTGAGAGAGATCTAAATACCGTGCGTTCAGCGTTAACCTAAACACACAGCCTGGATCTGCACCAGCAACGAATCTCAGCTTTAGCAGCCTGTCGAGAGATGACATGTCAGAGATGTCAGAAGAGTGATGTTCTGGGCCCTAGGTTCACTGAGGCTGCCAACAGTGGGCCACAGGGCACACAAGCAGTTTAGGGAAGACTATCTCATCCACAGGTGTGCTCCTGAGCAGAGACACGGATCCTGGGAAAGGGGCAAGGAGATGGTCAGAAGAAAATATCAGCAACTACCCCACAGCTCAGACTGGGAAGACGGCTCAGTGAGCACAAAGCTTTCTGAGTGGGCATGAGGATCCGAGTTCCAATCCCCAGCAGCCATATAGAATCTAGGCATGGAGACAGATATCCACAAGCCCAGCATTGAGGGGACAGAAACAGGAGGATTGTGGGGGCTCACTGGCCAGCCAGTCTAGCTGGAATAGTGAGCCTGAAGCTCAAAAGAGCGATGTGGAGAGCAATAGAGGAAGATGGCTGAAGTTGACCCCCGGCCTCATACGCACACACACAGGCAGTGTGTCCATCCACACCCCACCCCACCCCACCAAACCAAACAGGAGGCTTTATAAAATGTTCACTGCCAGTAGACAGGCACTAAATGACACATGTTAGGTGACACCGTGCTTAAGCTGTAGACTCAGAGCCACCGTGCCTCCTAGAAGTATGAACGCAGCTAACACAATTGCTTTCTCAGTCTGCACATCTCTAGAGCAGCACAGGGACCTCCCGCAAGTGTCCGATGCTCAGATGAGACGAAGGGTACCTTGTATACAAAAGTTGCTCAATAGAGAGCAGGACCCACAGGCAGCAGGGTTGTAGAGACAGGAGGACTAGGAGATGGGGCAGTGCCATTTGTTTCATGTCCCCATTTTGCTTTTGGCTCCTTCCCTTGGAGAAAGTACAAAGGGGTAGCAGTGGCCACCACAATTGGATCAACTTCAAGGCACCCCTTCCAGGCAACAGAAGCCGTCCCCTGAAAACCACAATATAGCACCCACAGGCACATCTATTAAGAACCTCAAAATGGCAAGATAACATCTCTTCGGTTTCTTTTCCATGAGAAACGTCCGTGGGGTCCCCTTACCTTGGTGTTCATGCAGGCTTTCCCTCGCTTGTACTCCTTGTGGGCGCCACGCTTATCCAGCTTGTGCCAGAGGGCCTTGGCCTTCCAGGTGTTCACCTTGGACTTGAGCTGAGAGTAGAAGTTTCTATGGTCCAGCGGATCTAGGTCCAGGAGGCAGGTGAGGACGTTGAAGGCCTGGAGGGTGCCTTTGCATGTGGTAGCTTGCACAAAGTTCTCAAAGACCTGGCTGGCCTGGGCCTGTTTCTCATCCTCATTTTCTCCCATGGTTCAGGAGCTGCGTGGAACCGTGGTGTGGAGGGGTCCGAGGGCTACCATAAAGTGCTTGTAAAGGTGTCACACCTGCAAAGGAAGGCGTCGACAGGTGAGTCTCACATCCTCTAAAGGGACTAAAGGGCTGCTCTTGATTCCGCACGCTCACCGCTCCACCTGGACCTTATTTGGAGAAGGTCCAATGTACCTTCTAGCCTGGCATGATGCCTTGCTGGCAACCTCGCTCCCCAGCCCCCAGTCCTTTCCCTGGCTGGAGAACTGCAGATTGCACCCAGCTATATAAATATACTCCAGAGAATGTCAACAGGGCTCAGCATGGCTCTGGAAACAGGGAGTAGGGAAAAGGAAAAGGCCAGACAGGCACAGCCGATTTAGCCCCTATGGAAACCTATCGTTTTTGGTGCTGCAAACGGATTGACAGGAATTTGACCTGGTTATAATGATGTCACTGCACAGGTAAAAAACCCCATAGGCCATTATCTTCCTCCAGGCACTCTGACCCTTTCCACTGATCACCCTGGGGTCAGGTTTTCCCCAATACAGGTGACAAGTGGCAACCTCTTACAACTTCTGTTTCTGGAATCCACCGGAAGCATCTACATCAGGCAACCAGAAGACAGAGTGATATGGCCTTCTCTTTGCCAATAGTGAAAGGATTCTGGTCTGTGCAAAGCCAAGCTGAGAGCTGTCTGAACGAGCGACTGGACTGATGGAACAGGGACATGCAACAGGGTGTTCATTCGCATCGCTGAAATATTTGCTTGGGTTTGGGGCATGCTCCCCGCCTCCCTCTCTGGGTCATTCTAACCTCAAGCATGTCTTAGGAAAGTCGTTTCAGCTTCAAAGGGATGAAATGAAGGAAAGCCACTTCTCCAAAGCAAAGTTTTTTTTTTCTCTAAATGCATACTTAGAACAAGAAGGCCAGCGAGAGGGCTTTGAACTGGCCCCAGTGTTGGGATTCTGAGGAACCTGGCAATGGGAGACTGGACAACACACAGAGTAAAAGGCCCCAGGCAGCTTCGTGCTTCCCAGATTGGATCATTTATGAAGGGCACATCTGGATCGGAGGTTGGTTTCAAAATATCCAAAAGCAGTCAGGAGGCTGTGTGTGTTTTTTCCCTAATGTCTGATTCATCCACAACAGTTTCTGTCACCTTGGCAAATATCAGCATTGCACTGGGTGCTGGGAATACAGAGATGGCTCGTGCAGAGAGAGACCCCAGCTGGGGAAGAAGATAGAACAGTGGGCAAAAGAGCACTGTAGCATTTGGACAAAGAACCTGGGGTTTCTCAGAGAAGCCGGTATCCCACTGAGCCTGGAGAAGCCTCCAGGAAATGCCAAATTGCTTCTGTTGTAGGAAGGAGAGGGACTGCAGTCCAAGGTCAGGGAGTGGCCATTATGGGCCACCCTTCAGAGGCATGAGTGGGGAAAGAGCTGGTTCAGTTACAGCAACAGTAAATTCAAGGTGTTAACAGCTCAGGATTTCTGCAAAAAAAGATCAGGGGTTCTGAGATCAATCGTGGCGGATCTCCTCCAGGCCAAGGGGTATACATGGCTCATATGGGAGCCTATTTCCCCCTCCCGCTCTTCAAGGGCATCTGCTGTGCAGGCACTGTGCCCACATGGAGATTAACCTCCATCCCTGTGCGAGGTCTTAACTTGCACATGTTGGCCAGGCCCATCCTTCAGGAAGGCCTACCTCGATACCCTGATCCAAGCTGCCCAACTAGTTACACAGGTGGAGAAAGCTAGCAACGCCAGTGCTCTGCCTAGCTTGGAGGAGACATGAATTCCGTCTCTTGTGCGCCCTTTGCTCCTCTGACATCCCCGGCACTTGCCTGGCATCTCACATCAACACTGTGGCCTCTCTGTGGGTCACACTTGCCACCCAGAAAGCACCCACAGGAAGCAGGGCTCATCTGCTTCTCTGAATGTGTTTACGTTCCCAGACTTGTCTATCTTTGGAACCAGAAGAGTGTGGCATTGCATGGGGGCTGTGGAGGGCAGCTAAGAGACAAAACAAGGCTCCCTCTACAATCCCTAGTGAGGATGGATTGACCTTGGAGTGCAGTGGGTGACCTTGGAGATTTGGGAGCAGGTGAGCAAAGCCCCTTCACCGCCACATAACCTCATACAAACCACTGAAATGACAAGAGTCGGTTTCTTCTAAGGGAAGGATGACAACCTCAGGCCAAGAAGTGCTGGGCATGTGTGGTAACATATGCAACGCATGTAACACACGTTATATCCAAATCCACTCGCTTCTCCCAGCTTCCTATCTAAAATCTGTCTAAAACTGCATACCATTAGCAAGTATCAAGCCAGATCTGTCTCCCAGGAGACAATTACAAACCTGAAGAACTTGTCTTCTCTCTCTCTCTCTCTCTCTCTCTCTCTCTCTCTCTTAAAATCACTTAAATCTTGGACTTCAGTAGAGGATGAGGCAAAGGTGGTGTGAGGGTCTGGGGGTGTGAGAGTTCCCAGAACTGGCTCTTATCTAGGGTGCGATAAGAGAAGCGGGGAGTAAAGGGCCCATGGGAGGATTTTGGCTCTGGACACGAACCCCGCTGTACCAGGCTTGAACACGCCTCCCTGGATCTAAACAGTCTCCGCATTTTTAAAGACTGGATTGCCAAGTCATACCACTTTAAGATGGCACTGTCACATGGTGGGTAGCCATCTTTGTGGGAACATCAGATCGTTTATTCAATCAAAGAAACCTGTGCCTGGGTCAAGGCTGAAGAACTTGCCAGCTGTGTGACATGAGACACACCATCTCAGTTGGTAACCTGACAATTTTCTTGTCTGCAAGATGGAGACAATACTTCTCACATCATAGGATCACAAGAGAGAAATGCCTTCAGGTTGGGGTGTACTTACTGTTTGCTGGCCTTGTAACTAGCACTAATCTTTCAATGGTTCAAACATCAGCTCAAAAAGAAACATAACCTAGGGCTTAGAAGGCTTCCCAAAGCATTTGCCTAGCATGCGCAGACCTAGAACTGACAAAAGAACAAAAACAAACAAACAAACAAAAAAAAAAAAAAACAAAATACAAGCACAACCCCAAACCCTGCTAGGTTAGCTTCCTATGTCAAGAAATTACAAATATCTTAAAACTACAGGACACGGCCCATCCCAGTAATCTCAGCTCTTAGCATGTTAGACTAGCCTGGGCTACATAGGAAGACCTTTTTTTTTTTTTTTTTTTTTTTTTTTTTTGGTTTTTCGAGACAGGGTTTCTCTGTGGTTTTAGAGCCTGTCCTGGAACTAGCTTTTGTAGACCAGGCTAGTCTCGAACTCACAGAGATCCGCCTGCCTCTAAGACCCTGTCTTAAAACAAAACAAAAACTCTAGAAGTCAAGAACATCAGTTCAGAAGATCTAGGCCTGAGCTCTCTTCTTAGCCATGTAGTCTTGGGCAAATCTCCAAATTTGTGAGTTTTAATTTCCCCATATGCCAAGGGGGAATCTCACCCAGGGAGTTTTGATAATAAACTGAGAACACAGAGTGCATACACGCAATGTTGGTCAGGGGCCTGCCTAGCACTGCGAGGGGGACACAGTGAGTCTGAGCCTTAAGCTTCCATTTTTTTTTAGAGATTTGTGGGTTCATGACCTCTGGGAAATACTCATACCAGCTCCAAATGACAAAGGCCAAAAATTGTTAAAGCGGAGTTGAGCAAGGTGGCTCAAGCCTGTAATCCCAGTGCTTTCAAGGTAGAAGCAGGGAGATTAGGCAGGAATTAAGGGCACCCTTGGCTACAAACTGAGTTCAAGGCCATCTTGAGGCTACACAAGACCACAGAGTCTTAAAAACAAGAAGAGTACTTCAATCAGAGGCTCCTGGGTGGCTGGTTCTTGGTAGTCTGCCCTTTTAACCACCGCCCAGATGTTGCCTCTCTGGAGTCTGAGACGTAGTAGAAATAGAACCAACTAGCTAGAAATATGCAGGGTTTTGCATTTTCTGGGAAGAAACAAGATGTGATGTGTCGTTTCCAAGAATAGCCCGCAGAAGTTTGGGCTTTGTTGACTGAGTCCCTTATTTGCGGTTTTTCAGCTTCCCTGCCTGTGTGACTTCATGAGTCAGAGACATTCCCTTCCCCTGCCTCTGACCATCCAGAGTGAACATCCGGAGCCCCATACTGCAGGTGACACCGTAGTGATGGGCTCAGTCCGCAGCATCTGGGAGACAGAGGTCACAGTTCGCACGACAAGCCTGTGGTCCCTCTCTGTGTAAGTGCCGGGACTCCTGAGTCCTGGCTGGCCTGTGTACTCACATTTAGAACTTCACTCCCGAGGTGTCCTCCAACCGATGGCCAATATAACAATGACTTGGGGGGAAAGGTGGAGTTCCTGAAAACTTATGGAGGCCTGGGAGGGACATGGGGTAATCATGTCCAGGAGAGACATTCAACCCTCTACCGTACCCACAGACAAGGTCTGTTTCAAGGTCACTGCAAGCTAAGAACAAACTCTTATGTCCTTTTCATGCCAAGCTGCCCTCTCTCAGGTCTGCTGCAGCAAGGGGTCTCTGAGGGAGTCTCAGCAATGACCTAGGTGCTACCCTGTACTCCGTGTGGATAGGAAGCACCACCAGCCTGCTAGCCTTTTATACTGCAGAAAACCAGTCATGGCTACTTGAATTCCTAAGCTGAGGTTAAATCCAGCTAGGGGTGTGGTAGGAAACACTTCCCTCATAGCTAGTTCTCTGTGGAGCCCCCAGAAATGACAGGAAGCCCTGGTCCCCATAGGTGGCCTGAAACCCTAACTTCCCATCTGGCCCTCCATTTCTCTGAACACTAGGCAGCCAACATAAACTGGGCACAGCTCCAAGCCTGGTAACACAGGCTTATCAGCCTAGTGACTCAAGAAGCTAAGGCAGGAGGATGGCAATTTTGAAGTCCATCAAGGCCAGCCTGCACAGTTTCGTTAGACCCTGTTTCAAAATAAGAACTGAAAAGATGACCAAGAAGCTAGCTCAATGGAAGACTTTTCTTTTTTTTTAAAAAATATTTATTTAGTTAGTATACAATATTCTGTCTGTGTGTATGCCTTCAGGCCAGAAG